CAAAAATATCCTCTAGAATAAAATATTTTAGAAGTTGAAATACGCATTTTCTGAACTCTTTTTATGTAAGCTTTCTAGAATTATCTTTTAATGTAAGATGGATCATTCTAGTCGATTTGTTTAATTTTCATATTATTGCGCAAATTGTCATTTTTCTTACTAATCCAATTATTACGTGTTTGCATATATCATTAATATAATTTCATCAATTTACACAGTATTGTTAAATATCATAAAACCAGCTAATGACTTACTGATCGATGGTCATTGTCCTCTAATTGTTAATGGTTGTTCTATTTGATTTCACAAAGTTAATTAATATTAAAATTTTATACAAAATCCTTTATTATTATAATAAATTATAGCTTATATTTGCAAAGTTACTGTATAATAATAGATTCTTCAGAACATTTTATGTTCGGTTTAAACGTTTTAGTATCAAATGTACATGACACGTAAACAAAATGATATTTTTATTATTTTATTTTAAATCTAGGATAAATACCTTAATTTCTATATGATGTCTTTCTGTATTTTAAGTCAGGTATCTTGTTCTGTTACCTTTATGCTTTAGCATTGCTTTGTACATTGCATACGTTATCAGTCATAATCACCATTATCCATTTACGACTCATATTATCGTTTATTATATATTACGGCTAGACTTTTCTGAGGTTAATTTAGAAATTTATAGATGGCGTTAACAGTATTACACGTATAACGCTGAAACAATTATAAGTGGTATCGCAAACATTTCACATTCATTGAAATTTCTTATGAAATTAAAACACCTTCTGTTTCCTGTTCTCCTTTTTAGGACACTTAGCACCACATAACAAAACATTTGCAGGAAATACATTGAAACTGCAACAGCATTTACTTTATGTTCAGGAAAAATGTCAACAAGTACAGATTACCAGATTTTCATTTTTAAGTTTTTTTATCTCCTGATCTGATGTTATCCAACAATATAATGTATCACTTGGAAAAGTAACTATATCTGTATATATCTGCATACATTGGGAGAGCCGGTGATTCAATACTTAATCGCAACCGACGCTATCAATGGGAACAACGGTTTCGCAAAGGCAATAGCGTTCCCTTATTAACACAGCTATATCTCCAATCATCTAAAATAACGTAATTAACCGCTACTAAATTAAGTTGGACATTTTGCTGAGAAAGAAAAGGAACAAAGCCCTCTATCCTTTATGAAAATTTTTATACAATTATTACACCATATCTCGATTACTAAAACATTGTTATTGACTAACAAATAAATGGAACGAAAGATAATGGGAGATGTAGAAGATGAGACAAGATAGACAACTAAAATTAAACGGTACACGCTGGATCTGTCCTAGACCCTTATACTGGCCGTTTAACCAACATTTTCTAGTACCGACCTATCTTAACACGTATTCTGTACGCATTGTCTTCCCAAAGGTAAATTTCATGCTAAAAAAGGAAAGTCCAACTAATCCTTCATATAAGAAAGAACGAAATGGCACATTTAATGGTCCCGGTTACGCAATATCACGCAACTCTGCACTACTATCGAAGGTGCCAGTAATGTCTCGGTATATTTATATAGTATCTGAAGATAAATCGATGGATTAGAAATAGCCGGTGCATGATATATTCACCTGAATGTAAAATATTTATCTGAGGAAGAATGAGGAAGAAGTGAAATTTTGTAAGGGATTTTTTCGATATCAGGTGACATACTGATTTTCATTATATTGAGATATACATAGTAGATAGGAAAGTAGATTGGCATACGCGTGAAATACATTGTTAGCAAACGTTTCAGTACCACAGAGACTGCAGAATTGTTTACTTTACACCTCCGGAGACAAAGGAAATGGCCCGAATGGTATTTTAAACGGACAATGATAGCCGAGATCATCCTTCTCTCGGTGACCAACACAGAAAACAGCCTCTCGAGATCCTTTTTCCTCGATACGTCGGTCACACTGCCCGAATATGTAAAACTGACGTCACACCTCCTCGGGAGAGCGCAAAAGGACGCCCACCGTCCCTCTCCCTCTTCCTCACGAGCCTTCCATACATCGTGTTTTCCGTGGAAATCAATGCAGAATCATTTCTTCATCCCTCAATCAACTTCTTTCAACATTTAGTATTTAATTTAATGTTTCTTGTGTACACTGATTCGAGAGATCGCTTCGACGAACGATTCTGGGTTACTTTCCATCTGATCAGTTAGTTATGACCTCTTGTGGTTAATTTGTCGAGTATCTTATTGCCACCCACGTTGTGCTACATTTTTCTTCGAAACTCTTTCGATATCAAGAAATCTCTATTCACTGTGAAACTTTAAGAATGTCGTTCGCAAGAGTCTTCTTTATACACGATAGTTAGGAAATGATGCATGGTGCCCTTGAACTTTCACCAAATCTCAGATTAGTTATAGCCTCTCATTTCTATTGATAAGGAGATAAATTATCGATCGTTCTAGGCGCAGTTTAGAGTTACAAAAGCCGCCACATGTTCTTAGAATATTTGTTTGAAATTCTTGGCAATGAATTTTCATTATTTTTACTGGTATGTAATTATTTGTACAGAGGAGGAATCTTTTTCATCGCGTTCTTTAAATAGATGCACGATTTTAGAGTACATTGTTTCTCCGGCGAGATTTTGTAAATTGAGGAGCACTCTGGCAAACGGAAGTGTCACGCTCGCAATACGTGTGCACTCGCGCATAATTGCCGCACGCGTTTTCTGCGGGGGCATGTTTTCAGGCAAATATTGCGCATCAATTTGAATACTTTGGAATTAATGTCTTCGCCGAATAGAAAAATGGACATGTGTTACATCAATATAATACAATTTTCGTTATCTCGCTGATTAGAGTCCTTCGAGATATATCAGAATGAAAAGATATTTGTTAAGTTGGAAAATTTTAAATTTAATTCGCTAGATTTTCATCTTTCAAATTCTCTCTTTGTATCTTGTTCCCACGTGAATGTTATAGGAATTAAATAACACGTTACATAAAAACATAGTACAAGTTCTTAAGGTACTCTTGGTATGTGAAAGTTTGAAGAAGCTGTGGAAATTAATGTCTGAATCAAGAGAATGATTTACACCCAATATCAGAGCAATGAGACCACCTTGTAGCCGATCTTTCCATTCTTGGATTAATGCCCGGACCATTTCTCGGCTCCGACGATTATGTTTGGACGAATGTCAAGACCAAAATTGGTACGTGATAATTATTAACGGCTAACGAATGCCTAAGAAATTAATTTTTTCACTGTAAACCCATTCTAATTACAACAGTCCAATTAAGCGTCTTCTAAACTACCAGCGGACTTTTATCGACTGTAAATTACCAATTTCAAGAAGGAAATTATCGAAAAGGACCTTTAAGATCATCGAAGAAACGTTTTTTTAAATTATAAGCAACATCGTAAAGCAAATGGACCGGTAAGATGTTACCAGGATGTATTTTCAATCAAGCATAAGGTTCATTCTATAAGGGCAAGACCCCTATCTCAGGATTCAATAATCCCTAAGATTTTCCAGGCGGAAGTTAATCGAAAAGGCCGACAGCCTTTCCCAGTCACGTTACGAACACAATAGGCATCCGAAACATTCGGAATTGCATGTTACGTAAGCCAGTCGAGTCCAGTTCTCGTCCACCAGTGAGCCGGTGAATTTTAAATATCGAAGACCCGTTTCCAGCCGCGTTCCTCGTGCCGCTAAATCGCCAGTGCCACTTTACTAGTCTACTTTTCCAACTGTCAGACAACACTAGATGGTACTTCGATGTAATCGTTCAATGGAACCGGAAAATTCCATCGGTGGCAGCGGTTTTCTTGGAAGATGCTGCTGGCCTAGAATTCATCGCTTACACAGTTTTTCCACTGAGTCCAAGCAATTTTCAACCATCCATCAGTGACACTAAGTTGACTTTTTACTATTATCGAAGATTGAAAAATATCTTGGAAAGTATTAGGTGGACTGAAGTAAGGCTTCAGAATACCTTAACGGCTTCGACAAAGAATGAGATTATCATGAAAGGACAATGTATAAAGTGGAAGAGCGCTCCTTACGACGAGCCGTTGGAAAGGCGCCCACGACGACCCACGTTGCGATGACTGTTCGCTTGGTTTTACCTGCAACGTTGGTTTTGCGTGTAGGCAGGCCAAAATCACCACCGAAACCGGTGTGACTCATGGATTTCGCGATCATCCCGTGAAAGAACAAATTTATTATAAACTACAGAATGCTTCCTAATTCGTGGACGGACAAGATTCCTTTCTCGTATACTCCTGTGGAATATGAATAATTTAAACTAATGCCACCTTCTCGTTCACAGAATAATCACACTTTTCTGATGTCAATGTGCGTTAAAAATTATATCTAATTTTTAGAGGAAACGTGGGTTAATGTAACTAAAGGAATAGGAAGCAACCTGTACAACGAAGCCTCGGACCAACGTCCTCGACCTGATCGCGGAGGTGGCGTCCATAATCGTGTATGGACATGAAACGCGCTCCACCTGGCACGCAGAGAGAATTCCTGTTCACCTACTAACACACTCCAACGATTTCACACTCCAACTTCGTCTAGGATCACCAACTACAATTGAACATTGATCACCACCAATTGTTTCAGACATAACATATTGCTTCAAAGAAACTAGCTTCTTAAGTAGTATATCCACATAGCACAACTTCTACATCTTCTGTAATTCATGTTTTAGAAACGTGATATGGTCCACTGGAAACTTGGTGTTCTTAAAAGGCGATTTGTAAAATGAAACATCTTTACACGAGGACCTCTGTACATCTTTTTGGATGTTGATGTCAATAGATCGTTTTGGTGTGGGTGATTCAGTGCATTCTATAGCTATGTTGGCTGATCAAAGCAATAGAACGAGCAGAATGTAAGCAGGCTGCTTTTTCTTGCTCACCCGTTCGAGGGAGGGATGCAGAGGAGCCGTGAAGTGGGATAACGTAATGACCTCCACCTCCGTGTTTCCAACTATTTTCGATACACGTCTCGGCTAACTTTAGCGTTTTCGTTAGTCCAGTCTTTGACTTTGAGTACTCAGTTTTCCACCACGCACTCTCTCACGCGTTCCATTCTCACTTCCTATGTGAATTCCGCTGCACCAATTTAATTACTTCCGCCATTGTCCTAGCAGTTCTATCTGAAATTCAAATCCTGTTACTGTGTATCATGATAGACTCACGTAAAAGTCCCAGCATGGTTTCATAGCGGTGAAAGATGTGCGACGTGAAGGAAGATCTCTTTGTGTAAGTTTGGTTCGAGATAGTTTGAAGCTATGAAAAATCGCATGTTCTTGGGTTCATTCATTTCTCCAACTTTGGGATTATTGTTTCGAGAGAAAGGAAAGAATCAGTCGAATTGAGTGAATAGACGATTTTGTTTTCCATGACGCAGAAGAAGTCATTTATATAATACTACTGACTATTTCGAAGATGGCACGCAGAATTAACGTAGTGGAATATATTCGTGCGTTCACTGGAATACTACATAGTACGTGGGAACTATTTTAGAAGGCTGCTGTGTATTTTTTGCCGGTGCTCAGACTGTCACCATTCAGTGAAGTGCATTCCGCTAATATTCTTGGACCGTTTGCAATTACAGTTTGTTCCAAAATCTTCTAAGTCTTTGCCTGCTCCTATTCACTTGGATTCTGGGCCAGTTGATAGTTGAGAAAATGAAATAGGACATGAAAGAGACACCCAAGTATCCTGTTGCTTTAGAGATTCGTCACCTTTGTCGGATTTTAATCCGGCCATGAATTAACTCGAGCAGTCTTTTCATTGTACAAAGGATGTTGCGTTGATTGAACGCTTTTCAGACATCTTCATGAGCAACAGGTGGTCGGAAGTTCCTTTGAAGAGAGTTCCACTAGAAATCACTTTCAAGATCAAATCCACGAGAACCGTTTCTGCCTTTAAACTACCAATTATAACTTAATTATCGTCTAACAGCTTTTCCATTTTCCTGTTTTCTCGCCAATTTTTATGAGTCACGCTTCACGCTTTAAAGATTTAAAACATGTTAAGTGATTTTAAAAGTGAAAGCAGGTCTTCCTGCAAGAAAATTTATAGTAGAAAGATTGAAAATACTTAGCCAGATTATCAGTCTATGAAAAGTCTACAAATGTCTATTAAACATTCATCTTCATTGCACATTGTACTATTGAGTTATCTTCCTATTACGTTTCTTACTGTTGTTTCAGAGAAACTATACCAGAATAAGACTAGCTGTATTTTTCCCTGTTCAATCGTCCATATCTTCTTATATACTTGTCAATTGGATCGCTAATTGTTATAACCGTTCCTTTGCATTGTTGGACAGGTGGTTGCCTAAGCCCTAACACCCGAGCACGAGCACTGTAAACGATGGTTGACTACTACAAAATACTAGAAGTGCAACGGACCGCCACGAGCGCGGACATTAAAAAGGCGTAAGTAATGGCTTACTGAAGCCAGAAGAGTCCAAAATCTTCAAGGGAAAGA